CAGATCCTCTTTTGTTGCCAGTTCAGGGAGTGCAGGTGGTTGAGTATCAGAGTATTCCATCTCGTTTCTCTTTGGGGTTGCTTTAGGTGATCTGGAAGTCTGGCTTTGAGACTTGTTTATGTGACTTCTCATTTCAAGGGTGGTGGTAGGGGGAGGAGTGTGTGTATGTGCTGCTGGTGCCCGTGCCACTCACCTCTTTGGCACTGGGGGCGGTAGTACAGTGGCCTCGAAGGCTCCTCCTCAGCGCTGGGGGCAGCTCTGCTCCTTGGCACTGGGGGGTCAGTTGATTTTAAGTATTCTTGTGTAATACTCATAATAATTAGTTCAATTTAGTCATTCTACATAGTATTTATATTTCAAAACATCATGTTGTATGCTACAAATATATACAATTTTTACTCATCAATTAAAAATAAATGCAAAAAATAATGGGTTCATAGCTATATTTCCTATTCAATTCTAATATTATTATTATTATTATTATTATTATTATTATTTGGTTTTGTTTTTTGTTTTTTGAGACAGGGTCTTGCTATATAGTTCAGGATGGTCTTGAACTCACTATATAGCCTGGGCTGGTCTCGAACTCACAGCAGTCCACCTGAGTGCTGGGATTATTGGCCTATGACACCACATCTGGGGATTATTGTATTTTTAAGGAGCTAGTTGATTTTATAATTGTGTCTTTCTCTCTCTATATATATTTCTCTTTGTTTCTTTTTCTTTCTTTCTTTTTGAGGCAGGGTCTTGCTATGCAGTTCAGGCTGGACTTGAACTCACTGTGTAGCCCAGGCTAGCCTTGAACTCACAGCAGTCCTCCTGCCTCAGCTTCCCAAGTGCTGGGATTATAGGCATGTGCTGCTATACCTGGCTCTATAATTATATCTTTTCTTTTGCACTGAAAATCCTAACCATCAATAACAGACATTGCTTCTTCTAACAATGCAAAGGAAATAATTTCAAAATTACTATTAATAAAACTCATATTAAAACCAAATGAAATTTAAAATTTTCTTTTAATGTTTTTGTATAGGTTGATTTAATGGAAGAATTAATTACTCTTATGTTGATTTCATTTAATTAATTTTCTTTGAAATATATCTTCTCTGTTTTGTTTTTATTATAGGTTGATCATTTTGGATTTAATAACCCCAAAACTTTTAAACAGCGTTACTTAATATCTGATAAACACTGGCAAAGAGATGGTGGATCAATACTTTTCTACACTGGTAATGAAGGGGACATCATCTGGTTTTGCAATAACACGGTATGTGCAGATCTGTGAAATTCTCGTTCATACAATTTGTCTTTTATTATGATAAACTAGAAAAAATATTTTGAAGGATAAATGATCATGTATTAGTATTTTCAAAAATGGTAGAGGGATTGAACCCAAGATCTTTAGACTGAACTATATCTCCAGACCTTTTAAAATTGATTGATTGATTGATTGTTTGAGATAGAGTCTGAGTTTGAATTTGTGATTCTCCTGCTTCAGTCTCCCAGAGTGCTAGGATTACAGATGTGACCACCATACTAAGCTAAGCATTAGAATTCTTAATTATAAAGTTCTTTAAAAAATAATAAAAAAGCAAACTTGCTAGTAATAGAAAAATAGCAAAACTATATGAACAGACAGTTCACCAAACAACTCATACAAATATTCAAGAAGCTTGCATGTTCAGTTTTAAAGAATTACAAATGAAAAGAATCAAATGCTTTTCAATTAGCAATAATTGTGCCTTGCTAAACCTCATTGGTTATGATATTGTCACTGCACAAAGCTTCCAATGCTTTGCTTGGAAAATGGAATTTTAAAAATTGTTTTATAAATTCCAGTTTATTTCTAGAGCAAGCAGGTTATGATGGCCATAGGAGTATTATTGCATATAGTTTGTGTCAATTATTGCTTCTAGAAGATAAATTCAAGGGTAGGGATCTTTGTATGTTTATTCAGTGTTGTATTTTAAAGTCCAAGACTCTATTACTCATCTAATAGGTGCTCAGTAAATATGTGTTATGTGTATGAATAAATAAAACCAAAACAAAGCCATTACAAATAAAAATATACATGTTTGACTGACAAATGGGAATGGGCAGATTGTGAAGTTTAGCTTTCCTGTTCTAATATTTTTCTTGTCTTTGTGAGGGTGAAAATTATATAACTTGGTAGCTTGCTTTTTCTGTACCTTTTATATACTTAAATCCATTAACAAAATTTAATTTAGAAGGACACATGAAAAGAAGAAGATGTCTTTTTCAGTGTGTTAATGATCTGACTAGAACATGTCAACTTTCTACCAAAAAGCAATTCTGTGAATTATTGTAAAATGGGGATTAATTGTATTATCTCCAAAGCCAATATCTGGCATGGTGCCTGGTATTCAGGAAGTCTCAGTAAACTCTTGCTGAATTGAATTGAAACTAAAGATATGAATCCAACTATACTGTTATTGGATTCCTCATTTCTGATTTCCTGTGGATGTTAATCTAAATACATTAGTTGAAAATAAAACAAGTCCTTGAGAAATGAGATCCTAGGATGTCTATGTCTTTTAGATCAGTGACAAGTGAACTCAAGATTTCCTTTCTGTCAGATTCCTGCTCCCTTATTCTTTGAAACAATGGCAACCACCTTGTCTCTTTTCTTTGTGTGACCTTTTTTTATGTCAGGGTCTCCATACAGCTTCCCCAGTCTGGTGATTTCCAACTTCTTGTTCTTTATTGTAGGCAGGAGCTGTTCTTGCCTCCATTAGACACAGCTCCACATGTACTTCTGCAGAACCCCAGGCTGGCTGCGGATCCCTATTGTGAGGAGTGTAGAAAGGATGAGCTACTTAGTACAGGAGCAGTTCCAGAGAACCTACCAGGGGTGGAAGCTAGAAGGGCAGATCCTGGCCCTCGCTAGTCTCACGCATCTTCTTTATTTACTAAAACATTCCAATTGGATGTTCTCTTCTGGGCATTCATTTTTTGAAAGGGAGTGTAGCATAGTGGTCAAGAGTGAAGACTTTTAAGCAGAATGTCAAGGTTTGAATTCAGCTTTTGCTACTTTGTTGTGTGACTTTGGGCAAGTTTCTTGTTCCGTGTCTCGGTTCTCTCATCTGTTGAATAGATATAATAAAAGATATCTATTTCATAGAGTTGTTATAAAGACTAAAATAAGATTAAGGAGCTTGTAGTCACGTAATGTTAATATATTATGTGGGCCTCTGTTAAAAAATAATACCTCTGAAATAGATGCAGTCAAACAATCACTACTTTGTGAATCAGTTCAATTAAATTGCTTCCTCTCAAAGCCTGAAGCCAACACCACAGTGATCTGAATATTATGATTCTTACTCTTAAGACACTGATAGTTTCACAGGGCAAGAAACACATGCAAGCAGATATCACAGTGTGTTAACAGAGATCTACACATAGCACCGTGGTGTTGAAGAAAGGGTGATTGGCCCTACAGAGTGAGGTAGGCTGAAAAAAGCATGCTTTGGCTGGATTTGTAGATATGTGACAGGGTGTGAGTAGGTCCTAGGAAGAGAACATTGTTATTGGAATCATCACCAGTATTAGGTTAAATTTTCCGTTCTCACATGCATGCTGTTCATTTATTTTGTGGTACTGGGGATGGAAGTCAGGGCCTTGTGCCTTTTGGACAGGCACTCTACCATTGAGCTACTTCTCTCATGCAGTTCTTTTAATGTGCACTTATTGATCAAAACAAACAACATTTTAAGTTGCTTAGTTCTAGTTTGGGAGTGGTAACTTAATAAAAAGCAACAAAATACATTTAGGAGTGACGGTTTTGATGTATGCTAGATCTAACCCACCTGTGGTTGCTTGGAATGCTTTGATGAGAAAGATTTTGAGGCTACAATTGAAGTGAAAAAATTCAGTGAATGATTAGTGATCAGCCATAGGTGTTTCAGCAAGGCAGTCTAACAGCACTTGATGATTGTACTCTGGAGCCACATAGTCTTTGTTTGAATCTTGGCTCTGCCACTTGTGTGAATTTCAAAGTTCATTTCAAATCTTGTGCCTTAGTTTTCTTGTCTGTAAAATGTGCCTGTTTATTATTTAGTGTGATAATGTAGTGAAATCATACATATGAAGTGTTTAAAATAGTGCCTGGTACACATAATGACTCAGTTAATATTAGCTATTGTTAGCTACTATTTTGTTTCTAATAAATAAGATTAATTTAAAATCCCAAGGGAGTTTAATATGGTTATTTGTACTGTTTCCTTTTTGATGTTATAAATACTTCTGAGTAGGTGGCTAACTTAGGGATCTTTAGCAGTGTCCTAGAATTTTTGACACGCAGTGCAGTTTGAAGACTGTTTGAGACATAATGTTTATTCTACATCTAGAGGTTCGGGATAAGAAGAGTTGGAATGACTGACTAGTGGATGAGCAACTTGAACTTACTTTTGTTTCACTCTAATAAAGTGTTCAACTGTGCAGCTTTCCAGAGAACTCTTCCTGGTCTGGTTTCACATTTATTTCATATGCTTTGGTGATTTTTTTTTTTTTTCACATCCCGGTTTTATCTTGTGACCCTGTAAACTCTTCTTAGGGGTTCATGTGGGATGTGGCTGAGGAACTGAAAGCTATGTTGGTGTTTGCTGAACATCGATACTATGGAGAATCCCTCCCCTTTGGTCCTGACTCATTCAAGGTAAGAGTACTTCTTACTTTTAAGTTTAGAACATTTTTTACATCCACGTCCCACTGTGAGATAGTTTTAACTCAAACTGCCTGAAACATCAGTAATTTGTGCTTTGTCTTTCCTTTCCATGAATAATTTGAGTGGTCAGACCAGCCTCAGGCAGGCAGTTTTGCTGAGGGGCTGCAGAGACCTGGCAGAGCCTGGCCCTATTTCAGAAGGGTCAGGCAACAGTTCTGCTTTATAAACCATACACTTTAATTATTGGAGCTGCTACTGGAAAAAATATAATGAGCACATAAATATTTGTCTAATAAGATGTTTTTAAATATAATCAATAAAGTAAGGACCAATAAGCTCTCTGATACAGTTCTGTTCTTTAGCTGAGCTTTTTGTGTGTAAATTACATATATGATTAGAGAAATTGACAGGTCTTGAAATCATTGAGAAGCAGCCAGCTTGCTGTGAATAGAAACAAAACTCTCTCTAAATGATTATAATTCATGCTCCATTAGCAAAATGGAGCCAAGGACTCTCTTGGATATGCTCTTTCCCTTTTTGGGCTCACAGAATTTGTCAGTAATATGAAGGCTGTCACATATTATTTGAGGATTGGAAAAAATGACACTCAACTATACACAGTACCATAAATACTGGAAGTAAAGAATAGTGATAGAGCAGAGGTAGGTAATTAGAAAACATACATCTTGGATAGGGAAAGGCTAAAGGAGTCAGTGGCATACTTAGGCAAGAGGGAAGCTGGAAACTGATTCAGTAATGTGCCAAGTGATGGAAGGAGTCAGAGCAATGAGATGCAAGCATGAATTCTCAAATCTTGTGCATATCTATGTTTGTAGCTGCACAATTCATAATAGATAAATCTTGGAAGCAGCATATGTATGTCCATCAAAATGTGATGTTTATACACAATGGAATACTAGTCTGCCATAAAGGGATACATTTGAGTCATTTTAAGGAAAATGGATGCTCCCTGAGACCATAATGTTAAGTGAAATAAGTTAGAAACACAAGCTTAAATATTGCAGTTTCTCTTATGTGACAAACCCAAAGTATAAGTAAATTAAAGAGAAAAATAAAAGATAGATAATGGGAAACAGGGAGATAGATCTTTTGCAAATGGGAAGATGGCTAAGAGATGGAGAGAGGGGAGAGGGCAGGGAAGAAGGGGATGTAAAAAGAATTAAAATCTGTTATGTTCATGTACCAGTGCCCCAGGATGAATGCAATCATTTTGCACTGCAAACATGTGTTAATAGAAATTTAAAAAGTTAAAAACCAAGAAGCAGCATGTATTACCTCACAGTTTCTTTAGGTAAGGAATTTGGAGTGGCTTAGCTGGGTGGTTTTGTTTCAGGGGTCCCATGAGGCTCATATGTCACCCAGTGTTGTAGTCATCACCAGTACACTCGACTGGAGCTGGGATATCCCCTCCATTTGCACGGAGGTCATCACAGGAGTGATAAACTCACATGGGATCTTAGCAAAAAGCTTCACTCCTTCTCCTAGGCTTCTTGAAGGGCCTACGTGAGTGGCATCATGACTTGGCAGCCAACTTCCCTCAAAGTTGACGGACCAAGAGAGGAAGAACAAGGTGAAGCTGCAGTGCTGTTTTGGTGAACTAGCCTTGGTAGTTATGTGCCATTGCTGCTCCTACATTTTATTCACTAGAATCAAGTCACTAAGTTCAGCCCAAGTTCAAAGGGAGTGGAATTCTGCTTCACCTTTTAAAAGAAGGCGTATCAAGAATTTACAGATACCTTCCCCACCCCCACCTCAGCCTTCTCAGTTCAGCAGGGCTCCACTTGAACTTCACATTCCTACACTGCAGAGAGAAGTGGTACGCATACAGTGAGCTGGACGATCATAGGACTTAATGAGTTTTTCTTCTCTCAGGCATCACTGCTACCTATTGTGCTACCTATTTTCCAATGCCCCCAAATATATTTTTCCCTTTTCAATTTTATAGCTGTTTATGATAGGCAGCCTAATTTGTTCCAGTTGTTGATACGGTGGACATATATATAATCATTTTGATGGGGAAGGATGAGTTTTATTTTTACTCGTGATCCTTACCTCTTTTGTCAATAGGATTTAGTTTATCTTTGACTACATGGTGGACATTTTAAAGTGTCAAGATTTCAAATAAAAGTTATAATCTAACCATTGTCTTTTATGTTTAGTTTTATTTTCTATCACATTTGCTGTTAAATGTTACTTAGAATTTGTTTCTGTTACTTCTACAACCTCAACATTGCCTTTAGAAAACAGCATTGAATAGAATTACATTTGAAGATATACTATGTTCTTCCACAAAATAAGGAAAGCTATTGCTTTGACTGGGCATTTTAGCTCAATTGCCTAGAAATTCTATCTGGAGAAGAGTTTATCTGACTCTGGCTCTTTTCTGGACCTATTTTATGCTTAAGCTGCTATTATGTACACATTTATACCCATGTTCTTTGTTATTTTTCTTTAGGATTCTAGACACTTGAATTTTCTGACATCAGAACAAGCTCTGGCTGATTTTGCAGAGTTAATTACACACTTGAAAAGAACAATCCCAGGAGCTGGAGATCAACCTGTCATTGCCATAGGGGGCTCTTATGGTGGCATGCTTGCAGCCTGGTTCAGAATGAAATATCCTCATGTGGTGGTTGGGTAAATACATTTATGCTGGACGTGATTGTCAAGGAAAATTTAGAGATTTGTTTTGGGTAAAACATACTCCATTCTATTGTACTGAGATTTCTCATTTCTGTCTCATTAACAGATAGGTATGTTTTTCTCATCCTTTTTGTTCAGTCTCAGTTCAACTTTAAAACTTGAGTCTAGTAAGTTATATATTTCTTTCTCTCCTCTCTTGTTTCTCTTACTGTTTAGAGCTCTTGCAGCTTCTGCTCCTATCTGGCAGTTTGAGGATTTGGTTCCTTGTAATGTGTTTATGAAGATTGTAAGTACAGATTTTAAGAAAAGTGGTCCAAATTGTTCAGAGAGCATCCGCAGGTCCTGGGATGCTATTAACCGACTCTCAAATACAGGTAAGCTGTAATCAAGAGAATGGATTTGTGTTTGTTTGTTTTTACTTTTCATTATTTGTTAAATGTAACACTTCCACTCTCTTTTCTTTTTTTTTTGGTACCGGTAATTGAACTCAGGACCTTGCACTTGTGAGGCAGGCATGGTGCTACTGAGCTAAATCCCTGGTCCTCTACTTTCTTTTTTTGAGGGGGTGCTGGGGATTAAGCCCAGGCCCTTGTGCAATCTAGGCAAGCAGTCTACCACTGAGCTATAGCCTCAGCTTGACATTTCCACTTTTTAAGCAATATTTCATTAAAGTAAAACACATTAAAAAATACACAAATTGAGATGTATAGCTTAAAGAATTTTCACAAAGAGAGTACTTAGTGTAATTAGCATCCAGGTAAAGAAATAATATCATCAGGGTGAGGTGGTGCATACTTGTAATACCACCTCTTCAGAAGGCCGAGGCAGGGGCATTATGAGTTTGAGATTAGTCTGGGCAACATTGTGAGGCCCTATCTCAAAGAAAAAAAAATCATGATATTTCTAATACACACACACACACACACACACACACAAATAATGAATAAAGGACAAACAACAGCATCTGAAATATCCTCTCATGACTTTCTGTCATTACCTCCACATCTGTCCGGCTAATCACTATCCTCCTTAAACCATAGATAAACATTTTTAATAATTGAAATTGCATAGTATGTGCTATTTTATCTCTTATCTTTTGCTCAATGATGTATTTTTTGATACATCTATTTGTTTTATTTGGTTGCAGTTTATTCTCATTTTTCTGTAGTATTTCTATTTATTTATTTCAATAGTATCTTAAAGCAGGGGAATAATGCAGAAGACTAATTCTGGTCCATTCTATGAAAATAGGCAACATGAGATTATCAAGTTGCTCTAAAAATATTTTGTCAAATGTTGAAAACATTCCTGGACAAAGTGGTATAGAAAATTTAATTTTTTGAATAGTAAGTGAATGATGAATGACCTGTAAAGACTCTATTGACTTGTACTTCTTAGATTCCATCAATGTAATTCTGTTCCCAGGCAGTGGGCTACAGTGGCTTACTCAAGCCCTTCACTTATGTAGCCCTTTAACTTCAGACGACATCCAACATTTCAAAGAGTGGATTTCTGAAACATGGGTGAATCTGGCCATGGTGGACTACCCTTACGAGTCTAACTTTCTGCAGCCTTTGCCTGCTTGGCCTATCAAGGTAACAGGAAAATATCCTCTCATCATTTTTAGCTACAAATTTTTCACTTTTTTTCATGTGCTTCTCTGACTTTCAGCATCAGAAGAAATCCCAGTGACATAGGGATTTCATGGAATTAATGACATCTGAGTGGAAATCCTGGGTTTGGTCACTTTGTATTATGTGACCTTGAACATGTTCCCTAAATTTTCTGAAACACCATTTTCTCATTTGACAAATGGAGATAAAATGCATTGATTATAAGAGTTGTATGAATTAGAAATATGACCAATGCTTGCTTTTAATGGGGGTAATTATTATGTGCTAAATCCTGAGCTGTGCACTTTGATATGTATTTAATCTGTGATATATTTATAAAGCCTGGATCTATATAATATATGTTTGATGTTTAATAAGTGGCAACTGCTATCATAGTACAGTGAACCCTCAAGTTATGACCAGCCTGACATATGAACAACTTGAGTTAATTAGGTTAATGGAAGATTCATCTGCCTCTTGTTGTCTATAGTGTGTACCCAGGTAAACATCCAGTTCTCAGCTGTATTGACTTACAACCAACCCTCCCTTGGAAACTGATCGAGTGTGTAAGTCAAGGGTCCACTGTAATATGATTAAGTCAGTTGCTATTGCATTCCAAGTACTTCATACATTATTAAAGGTGATCACCACGCAGTGTGTGGCAGAGTGGAAAGAGCACCAACTTGACGATGAGGGTTTGGCCCAGAACTGCTGCTTCCAAGCTGTTTGATCTTGGGCAAGGTGATTCTCTTCCCTGAGCCTCCATGAGTCTTCCCTGAGTCTTCCTCTGCAGAACAAGGTAGCAACAGTTACTTACAGTTGTGCTGAGGGCCAAATAAAACAGTGTGGATGTGACACACTCTGAGAAGTATAAAGACACGGTATATCCACTTTAGGTTCTTTTACAGTTTTAAGGTTCTTTTCATGTCAAAATTATTTGTTGTTTATGCTCTTTTTTAAGCATTTTTTTGTGAAGAACTTTTCTGTTAACTTTAAGATCAAAGGCTAGCAACCTGATGGGTAAGTTTGAGAATATAATTGATGCTATAGCTAGAATGGATGTGAAATTAAAATAGAATTAGTATTGACAGAATTGGTATTGGTATTGGAAATGACAGCCAAGTTTTAAAAGTACTTCCAATTAACTGTCCTTTTGAACTATTAAATGTACAACTTGCTTAATACTTTGTAACTGAAGTGAAAAAACCCATTCACTATTAGATTTTTTTTTTTAATGTACCAAATGTTTTGTACATAGCAGGCTGGAGGTAAATGTGCACTGAATTAAATTGGATATTGATTCAAAAGAGCAGATCTCTCTCATGTAAGAAAACCTGGATCCATATATTAGATTTAACTCTGTGCTCTATCAGTATAGAAAGTAAGAAATATATTTGCATCTTTATCCCCACTCAATGAATAAAGTGAGTTGTCAGATGATGAAAACAATAGAGAATTCCCTTATTATTTTGAACTGAGACTGGCAAACTTTATTCATAAAGGATTATATTTTAGGCTTTGTGGATCATATGGTTTATGTACCATGAAAGCAGCCATAGATAATCCATAAACAAATAAGGATGTTCAATAGTATTTTATTTATAAAAACAGGCAGTAGGCTTCATTTGGCCTAGGGATTGTGGTTTGTTGACCCCTAATCTAGAAAAAGAGCCCAGGGAATACAACATTTTAGTGTTACTTGGTTTAGCATGATTTCAAGCAATGAGCAGTCTAACTTTAGTTCTCTCCCCATTAATTTCATATTCCTTCTGAGGTATTTTGTTGTTTTAAATGTAAATAAATATTTTCTTCTTTACTCTCTTAAATAATCACTTGAAATCTTGTTATCTATTTTTTATTTGGTAAGTCCTTGTTTTATCTTTGTCTCTATATCTATATATCTATATAATGAAAGTTCATTATTAAGTCTAGATAACTTTATATCTTACCCCCTATGATCACTGTCTACTTTTTTTTTTAAATCCAGAGCTAGTTCAGGTCATTTTCTTCTTACCAACATTATCCTTTCTCTGCACACTTTAAGAAATTCCTTTTTAATTTATTTTTTGATGTTGCTGGGGATGGAATCCAGGGCCTCACTCATGCTGGACAAGTGCTTAATTGCTGAGCTATATCCCTAGCCTAACACTAAGGATTCTTGATTGCTTATATTAATTTATGATTCTGTTTCCTGCCTGCAGCCACCCAATGTAATCTCTCTTGTCTCTTGCTTCAGAAACTTCCATTGCCTCTATTTCCAGTTTCCTTCTACAGTTACTCACCTATCTGATTTTCAGAATTTTTCCACTATGTCTCTCTCCTTGTGTTTCCCAAACTTTTAGCTTCAGATCACTTTCTTTCACTGTCCATTCTATTTCTCCTTTCTTGACCCCCTCTCTGTTCTCCCAACCCACTAATCCCTGGAACACTACCCAGTTAGGGACTGCTCTTTCACTTGGATAGTTCCATTTAGCTGAGACTCCTCCTCCCTCTGATACACTTCCTCCTTTTTAAAGGGCTGACAAACAGCCGTCCTTTTTTGAGTCTGTAACTCAGGTTTAGGATGGTGAGATAATGTGTAACAGTTGGGTTATAAAAAAAGCAGGTGATTTCCAATTCTGCCTGGAACTTGTACAGTTCTGAAGGATCCATGGGCAGCGACTAAATGCCATTTTTTGTGTTAATTCAAGTATCGTTCTTTTTAATTTGTCTTTGGGCTTCGTGCACTCAGACTCCGTTTGCTTTTGTTTACTATTAACAGAAGTTGCAACATTCATGCAGAAATAATTATGGACTTGGCCAGTTGAACACAAGGAAGAAGAGAGAAGGGACATAGAAAACCCCTCTGTCATTTGCCTGTTCTGTCTGCATAAAAATCACTATCTTTTCTCAGCTCAAAGAGAAATTTTAAAGAATACAGTAGTTTTTAAATTTTGGAATCATTTTTTTAGCTGATAACTTACCAAGTATTTTGGTTTAATTTTCTGAGCATTTGGATAGATACAGTGAAATAGTAAGACATAAGATGGAAAATCTCTTCCGTTTGTCATGGTGTTTGATAATGTATGCAACCTCTCTGGGTGGTTTAAGCGGTTTAGGTGCATTCTATGAAAGGGAGCTTTTAATGACAAAACTAATGTGATTATCTGAGTGAGTGTGAGAGGGGTATTGAAGGCTTAGAGAAAGAAAATCTGTTAGAAAAGCTGAATGTATCTGCTTAATCCTTTTTCTAATGTGGATGGACCATGCTCTGAGAGGAGATTGGTCTTTTTTTTTTTTTTTTTTTTTTTTTTTTTAAAAAAAAAACCTATCTTCTTTCCTTCCTCTTCTAAAAAATTCTCTTTGCCCTCTTTTTTCCTGCCTTTTATTTAAATGCTTATCCCTCCTAGGTAGTGACACTGAAAGCTTTTAAACAAATCATTATCTTTACTTTCTTTGGCATATGTGGGGTCAAAGATCAGAACCTAAATATTTGAATGCAGATCTGACAAGCTTGGTTCTAATTTACATGAATGTTGTACTTCCTGCTCTATTTCTGTACTCTTTAAAACTAGAATTATTAAAATGAACTGGACTTCTAATGTTCTTTCTGAGTATTTCCTGAGTGCTCATTTTTACACATGGAAGTAGAAATGAATTGAGTCTATCCATTTCAAGTGTTTGTTCTTTACCTCATATTGCTCTACCTTATTATTATTGTTTTATTATAGTATTATTTGCAGTCCTGGGGAATTAAACCTATATCCCTTCCTTCCCCTTTTTTTGGGGGGGGGTGTTACTGGGGACTGAACTGAGAGTTCCACACATGCTAAGCAAATGCTGCATCACTGGAGCCATAACCACAGGACTTTCTATTTTATAGTTTCCTTTTTACTATTGCATATTTTAAAGTTTTTATATTGCCACAGAACCCCTTGTAAGTTTTTACCTGAAACAAATAAATACAGAAAAATATACAGACAATTTAATAATAAAAAAATATTTGTTTAAAAAAGTGAGCATGAGACTACAGGCATATTTAGGCATTGTGTTATTATTTTTCTACCACATTATAACTTTCAAAATTGAGTACATGTAGTATAGTGGTTGAGTGAGTCTGCGTTTGAATCCTAGCAGTGATACTTCCTTGATGTGTAGCTTTAAGTAATTTTCTTAAACCTCTCTGTGCTTTAATTTCCTCTCTTGTAAATGGGGATAATAACAATTACAATGTTTATAGGGATTGTTATGAGTGTTTCATAGGATCTGGTATAATAATAAAAATGTCTTGTTATTATATCAGGAAGACAGACTATTTGTGGTCAAAGTCTGGGTTCAGAGCCTATATTCATAGCTTCTAAATTGTTTATTTTATAGTCAGACCTCTCTGAGCTTATGTTGCTCCCTGGGTTATAGTGGGAAATGTACCAAGTTTCAAGGAATTTCAAGAGTTGTACTAGCAATGTTAGCACCAGCTGTCCTCATTCCAGTGCATTCATGGCCTTATTTTGAGATTATTTAAAAGAAGCTACAAAATAAAAAGTATAATGCAGGGGCTATCTGAGTGTTGTTGCCCCTCATCAAATGGGCAGTATCTGTAAATTATCAGGATTAAGCAGAGGCATTATATGAAGACATACCAAAAGTGTCTATATTTGACTGTTTGACTTATAAATGTGACAATTTCATGTGGTTCAGCTTAATATTTATGTGTCTTATGCATCCTCCAAATCTGAAAAGAGAATGTGAATATCTCCTTTTGAATTACTGTAGTCTTTGAAAAAGCATGAGAATAGCACTGAGGTCCTGCCAGTATGACTCTGGTATTTTCTTTTAAACTTTAATTTTACTATCTAAATTGCTAAGAAAGTTTATAGACTTATGTAGAGAATGCTTGCAGAATGTTTAAGGTAGGGAAGAACCTTAGAAACACCTAAAATAAAGCTTCCATTGTAAATTTACAAATATTTTGCAGTGATATTTTAAGTGATATTTTTCATGAC